GATATCAATCTAAACAAAATGATCATATATAATTTCACATGAGAATTAAGATATAACATAATTATTAATTTATCAAACAAATAAAACAAAACTAGTAGAATATCAGAACATCACACATTGTACAAAAAAGGAATCAATTATTCATAAAAGAATTCGATACATGCCCAATTTCATTATCCAAACGAGGAAATAATCAATTAATCACAAAAAAAATTCAATTTTTCAACTACAAACATGTAAATATCGTAAAAGGGAAAAAAAGTAAAAGAAAAAACAAATGATTCATAACATAATACATTATAACAAAAACATAATAATCAAAACCCTTGTTCAAATATGATAATGCTCTAAAAATATCAAAATCACAATGATGTCAGCCCAAACCTCGTCTATTGGGTCGGCTAAAGTCCTCAAAATCGACCCCTAGAAGCTCCAAAAACTGCCATGAATGGCTTTGATTTCGAAAGAAATCAGAAAAATCAAAATTTCTCAATCTTTCTATAAAGGGTGCAGTTTCCATACGGATGCATCCGTAGGTGTAGAGGTAAGGTGCACCTTCAAATTTTATCTTGGTATATAATTTTGATGTAAAATGTTCTTAGGATTATCTCAAAATCTAGTTTTATATTTAATTATAAAATTTTAAATTTAAAAGATGGTTAAAATCAAGTAGATCAATAAACATATGAAAATCTTGAAAATGGACAGTGTAGATAATATGTTGTAAAATGCACTATTTCTGAGATTTAAAATCTTTTTATTTTTCATAGTCATACATCTCGATGTCGAGATGATCAATCAAAGGGTTTTTCAACATTAAAATTACCTTTTTCGATGGATTTTTGAGGGGCATCCGTAGTTCTTCATTATAAGGTAGCATCCTTCTAGAAACTTTTTCCTTCTATAAATCACAGTTTCGTTGTTTTTAGGGAGTTTTTATCTCTCTCGAAGTCACGGATTAGGTTGTGGGGGTTTAGAATGCCCCTCCAAAACCCTTTTCCGCCTTCTTGAGGGGGGGGGGGGGGAATTATTAAATTGACCCCGACCGAGGGCATTTTTCCTTTCCTCCCTTGGAAAGTTGCATCGAGGCTGCACCTAGGCTAGTTAAGGCGGCCTAGGCAGGTAAAGCACTGCCTAGATGGGCGCCTACGCAAGCCACCTAGGCGCCCCACCTAGATGCTGCCTAGGTGTTTTGGCCACTCATCTGATTAGGCGGTTGCCTAGGAGGCTGGGCGGCCGACTTTTCGAACATTGGTGGAAGATAAAACCAATCATAAGGTAAGCTGGTTCTCCCTTCCCAATCATCTTCAAGTGGTAATGCCCTCTTTATGGCAAACCACATTGGGCCCAAATTGGCTTTATGGCAAACCGCATTGGGCCCAAAGTGGCAATCTTCCATATGTAGTTTACATGCTTTATGCCTATTACTGCTATTTGCATGCAGACATCATTTAGAAGCAAAAATGTTTCTCAGAGGATCTGGTGATTTAAGATGCCCTCTCATGCCAAACCTCCTGTATGACTGAGGAAGTTTTGTACTAGACTCCAATTTGTGTTGTTTGACGAGAATGTTATTGACGAGGTCACTCATTCCACTGAGTCGCCTTGCTAACTTGGAACCCATGCTTGAGTGGCTTCCTTGGCTGTACCATCTGTGTTGTGTAATGTGTGATCCTAACGTGGTTCACTGTAAATGTGTCAACAGTGCTTGCAAAGTTGCCCAATAAATGCTGATGCAATGAATGCCCACACACTTCTGGCTACTTTGACAAGGGTCCAAGCCTTCCCAGGAGGTTGATTGCATATTGACTCTCCCATGGAGTATTTAACACTTATTAGGGTAGTATTAGTTGCACATTTTAACACTGACCAAGTGTCTAATGCTTCACGGGAAGTCTTGGGAACCCTTCCTGGAAGCCTCTGCAGAGCTTCCAATTCTTCTATGAAAGGGTGTGATGCTCCCAAAGAAGTGTTGCAGTAACTACTATGATATGCATGCAGACATTTTTTTGTACGTCTCTTGTTGTTATGGATACTTGTAATCCATATGGATCTTGGAGGAGTTTTATGTAAGGCATCAAATTAAAACAAAGTAATGGATGAAGTGTTCCACAAAGCTAAGATGCTCCCTCTCGGTACCTTGGTTGCATTTTTGTCCCCGTCTTCTCTCTGTACAGACTGCTTCTCTCGTTCATATTCAGTAAGCACAAACTGTTTAAAATGAAGACAGGCCCTTTTGCCTTTGGCTGCTTCACTCCAGGATGTATAATCAGCCGCCTCAAAGTGGTTGGAACCCATATGGAGCTTCCATACTCTGATTTTTCCTTAAATTCATGCCTCCTCCACAAAACCTTTCAAACTTCAAGGCAAGTACCACATAAAGACCTGCAGTCCACCGCGGCAACCATGTCTCCTGTGGATATGGCATCATGCCTCATCCAAATTTTGATATCACAACTTATTAACCAGCATCATCTCCAACTGCTTTCACACCAAAACATCCCATCAGTTAAGGGGGCACCTATAATTCAAGTTTCAAAAACTGTGGGAGATCCTGATGTGCCAAAATAAATATCCAGATAAGGTATCTAACACTATTGGAGAAGGGCAGTGGCTTTATCTAATTATGATATGATACAGTGGTTTATGCTTAATATCATGAACAGCAAACGGAAACAAGAACTCAGGCTTGGACTTGCCAGGGGTCCTGAATCTAATTTATCTACTGACTTGATTGAGCCATATGTCCAACTCGGCTGAGTCTCTGAATAAAGTAGAAATGGGAGGGCTGGGACTCGTAAGACCTGCCCGAGTTCAGGTCTTTCTTATTCAGACCCGGAAGGTAGACGCAGCACTGCATGCTGATCAACTCGGTCAAGTCTGAGGCCAAGTCACCAGTTTTTAAACACTGATCATGAATATCTCAATGTTTTTCTGGGGACTTCTGAAATAGATTGGATTCTTGGCACCCTGCGGGAAAATTGCTTGCTGATCGATGGTTTACTTTACCATTTATCCATGTTCAATGATGTTAGCCTTTTGTGGGGTACATCAATGCTTTTTAAGCAAGTATGTCATAGAAATTGTTTTAAAATTTTCAGGAATGTGCATTTTTGGGGATTGATGAAGTTGATATTATTCCTTTAGAAGTTAGTTTATGTAGGTTTGTAAATGAAACCTGTCACGGACTTAGAATTTCGGAAAACTTTTTATCTGTGGTGTTTTGGTGAATAATTATGTCCTTCATATTTTTATTTTGTTTGATCTCTAACTTTACAATTCTCTTCTCTCATTCCAGGTTGTCAATGATTTGTTAAATCCTGCTGGTCAGAATTTAAGAATAAGAGAGGACCATCAGGTATCCTTTCATACTCTTTTTTTCTTTTCTTTCTTTGGTTTTTTAATAATTTGATTTGGGGTCTGTACTTGAGAAGCATGTCAGTAAACTATCTTATATAATGCTTTGCCTGAGTATTTCTATATCTTCAATATTTAAGTGTTGGCCTGGGTCAATGTTTATATAAGTTGATTTTTGATATGATGAATGAGACAAAAAGGATGTTGTTACTAGACCAACTTATTAGCTTTACAACTTCTTAGATTATTTAACTATTTATGAAAAAGGATGATAACCTTTTTGCTTGCATTGTTTTATGAAAATAGAATACTTAAACCTAGTTGTGTTTCTTGGATCCTATTTGGGGCAAGTGAACAAATATGGAATTATTTGTAATACGAAGTATAAAGCATAAAGAAAAATTGGTTCGGGCTGGGGACTTACCACCCTGGCTGTCTAAGTGACTTGGGCAAGTCCGAGTTGACTTACCCTGGTCTGCTCGAGCCATCCAAGAGTTCAAAAGAAGCACACAAAAGGGAAAAATGCCAAAAAATCCCTTAAGAAGAAAAATATACAAAAAATCCAAAACAATATAAAATGAATTATGCACAATATGGAATATAAAGAAAAACCAATGTTATTGGCCTAAAAGAAAAGAAATATATAAAAATGAGTAAAATAGGAAATTTAGAATATCATTAAGACATAATAGAAATTAAAAACCACCATGCAAAAAAAAAAACAGAAATTAAAAGGTATATACAAACTTAACTATAAACCAATTATAATTGATTTAGTAAAAAATAAATCAATTTAATGAATTTATGTTGAAAAAATGGGACTGACCCAAAATTTTTGAGGCAGATCACCCCAATCTTTGCGCTTGGTGCGAATCTATTCAAAGCTTCCTTAGACAACCTCAATTAAAAATCCCAACCCAGATTGGGGTTTCAAATTTAGATATATAAGATCTGAGCTCTTGAAAAGAATAAGGATGAATTGTAAATAGGAATTTGAAATCTGACAAATTTGATTTTTTCTTTTCTTTTCTTTCTTTTTAATGTGAAACAAGATCAACTATTGGATAGAACTCACAAATTTTCAAAATTGAAATAAACCTTGGTCAAAAACTTTGATATCTCAAATCCGTCAAATTTGAATTTTTCTAAACAACCTGATCTATCTTGTGGGTAGATCATGCAAAAATTACTTTGTGAAGTTTCAGCTCAAATCAATGTCTCTAGGATTGTCGGCAATAAAATAGAGAAAAAATGCTCCCCCACCCACCGCAAGTTTTAAGTTGCTATCTTGTTCAGTACTCAGGCAAGTACTATACTGGTTTTGCCCCAGTACTTGAAAACTCAAGCCAGTCAGCCCTGAGTTTTGAAGTACACTGGTGGTCTCTAAAGTACTCACCACCAAGTACTATACACCTAATGTTCGAAAATTCGCCCGCTTAACCGCCTAGGCGGAAAAATTCAAAAAACGACTAGGTGCTCACGAGGTGGAACTATTAGGCGTCCTGCTTCTAGGTACCCGCCTAGGTGCTACAGTCTAGGTGCCACCTTGTGACAACTTGCAAAAAGGTGGAAGAGGGTTTTGGTGAGGGTAAAAAAAAAGTCATTTTTCCCCTAAAAAGGGGGGTGAAGGAGTATTCTAAACCCAAAACCAAAACCAAAACCAAAACCAAAACCAAAACCAAAACCGTGCTTTTTAAGGAGAGGAAAACTCTCCAAAAATCACTCTTTTGTGATTTATCGAAAGATCGATAAACTTTTGATTTTTTTGATAAGGCAATAGCTTGTGGGTGGATTTGGAGCTTCTAGTTGTTGATTTTGAGGACTTCTTGCAGCCCAATAGACGAGGTTTGCACTAACATCGATTTGATTTTGATATTTTTAAAGTATTATCATATTTGAATAAAGGTTTTGATTTTATTTTGCTACAATGTATTATGTTGTGCATCATTTGTTTTTTTTTTGCGATATATTTACATGTTTGTAGCTGAAAGATTGATTTTTTTTTGTGAGGAATTGAATTTTTCCTCATTTGGACGATGAAATTGGGCATATATACCCTATTCTTTATGAATAGTAGATTCCTTTTTTGTACAATGTATCATGTTTTGAAATTCTTTTTTTTTTTTTTTACTTAATTTGATAAATTATTGATTATGTAATATGTTAATGAGTTAAGTTTTATGTGAAAGTGAAACTAAGATCTTATATATTCATTTATGTGATATCTTAATGAGTTAAGATCTTATGTGAGGGTACCTGGGCAAGCGCCTAGGCGGCCAGGCATCCAAAGCGCCCAGGCAAGCTCCTAGGTGCCTGCACTTTCTTGAACACTGTATACACCTTTTAATTGCCCTCCTGTGTTGTAAGATGTTCTGGTCTCAGCTGTCTGCCTTGCTCGAGTGACCGCTCAAGTATGAGGCGGCTCAGGCATATTTCCATACACTTGATAGCATATTTCCCTTTAGACTTCTTGGTCCCGGATTTTCAGGGGCACAGTTGAAGCTGGAAACTAGATTTTCTCTAGTATAAAAATGCCCTTGCCTTCATATGCATCAATAGTATGGTTATCACAAATCACCTTTACTCAGACCACTAAGTGTTCACATTGAGGACTAATCATTTTGTGTTTACATGTATGGGCTAAACTTTCCGTACTTTCTAGTCTCAATTCAATTCTTTTGAGGATATAGTCTCAATTCAATTAATTAGCATCAATTTGAGGTGAAGGATTTTGGGCTGCTTTACTGTTTCATGGAAGTTGAGGCAAGTGGTTTGCTGGTTTCTGTATTTCATAGACCAATGGCTTCATTACACCTGATTGCAAGCTTGTTGATACTCCTTTGAATTTAATCTCTAAGCTACTCCATATTGATGCTCCTATGGATAACTTTTCTTATTTTTGCATTATTGTTACTTGACTTAAAAATAGTCATGCCATCAAGCTTGTATGGAAGTTATGTAGAAGCCAATTGATTATCATTTTATCCCTGCAAATAATATTCTTTGGTCTATTAAGGGCATCATTACTGATATCTTCTCCTTCAACATGCTTTCTCTCTCAACTTGCTGGCTTTATTTGATGTTATTGTTTGGTTATCATAATGTTGGATATTTCAAGAACCGATACTTCATATATTTCTCTCCAACTACACATAGTGTACTAGAATGAAACTTAAAGTTGTCTGGACTAGAACTGATCTAAATTTCTGATACTCTAGGTTGTGTAGCTTACTTGGTTGACATTTATGTTATGAGATCTTGTTATTTACTTATATCAGCTAGTGATGTATTTTGGAAATTTTCATTTGAGTGTGTCAAAAACCAGATTGGCTTGGTGAGTCAGCCTCTCAGAAAACCATTTTTGATCAGTGTACCAGTATGATCTCTGGTGTGAAATCGGTCCATCACTGGTTCCCTGACAGTCTCACTCGGTTCTCTGACTGGGGCCTGAGAAATTCGTCAAAATAAGATAGATTTTCAATTCTGAACAGGAATTGGGACTGTTCCCACCAATTCCCGATCTCGATTGGTCATTTCTTATCCTGACTGGTGGATTTTGAAACACTACTTCATGCTACAAGGATTGCTGCAAACCCTATTTCCTATTACCATGAAGTGCATTGAGATAAATTATCACTTCATTGATTGGAAATCATGTTGGGTGCTGTGATTTTCTTGTTGAATGTTGCTACAGCTGTGTCTATTAGTCTCGTGATCAATTCACTAGCATTTTTTGAAAGCTCTTTCCAAGGATTATCTTTGGTAGACCTGCAGTTCGTTGCATTTCCTTTATGATTGGTTCAACTCCTTGATCATGAATCATTTGTAACTATCTTTAAAATAGAATATAAAATGGATACGGAACTTTGCTGCATACTTCTGTAGTTGAACTAAGTCTGCTCACAAAATGATTGTTCCTTAGAAGCAAATGGTATGGACCTAACCTTTAAATGCTACCTCTTTCTACTTCTCTCTCTTTCTTGCAGGGTACATTTGTTGAGGGCATAAAAGAAGAGGTTGTGCTATCCCCTGCTCATGCTTTATCCCTCATCGCTGCTGGAGAAGGTGATCTTCTGTTGTCCAGTAATTTTTTTTAATGCACTTGTATGATTCAAAATTCAATTTTGAATTTGCAAATTTTGATGTAGCAGCTCACAGTTTAATGTGTAGGCACCATAGCACAGCATGTTCTCGTATATGTCTGCCATATTCTAATGTATTTAAGTAATTGCTCCTCTTGGGCATATATATTGGAAAATAAAACCTAACACTTTTGATGAAATAGGCATTTATGAGTGTACAAACTGACCTTAGTGAAAGTTTTAGAAGGAAACAGATATGAACTTTTAAGGTTTCTCCTTGTGGAGAACTTCCAAAAGCCCTAGACACAGCCTAAACTATGATCGATTTGCTCAAATACCCCCCATCCCTGCTCCCCCAAACAAACTACCAAATCTTCCTTGTGCTCTCATTGTCTATTTTCTCCATGGTTCTCACTTGCTTAGTGTTTAGGATGGGTTTAAACATGTGATTCACGTAAATAGAGGGCAAATATTAGCTTTGGTAAAAACAAATTACCCTTCAACCATCTGGAAAAGATGCTCATCTTCTGATTCAAGTCCAGTCTAAACTTCGGTCAATGCCTGTTACTGGATGTCATCCTCAGGGTTTGTGATGGCCCACAATTGACACCTTGATTGCTCTCAATGTTTGGTCACCACCATTCTTGGCTAACCTACATAGATGCCCATTCATGCAGACAACTGCCCTTGTGTGCTTGCAACTCGGTTTATACTTGAAGGCCTTTTCAGAACACATTTTTTCCCTGTAAATATTCCAGGAAATGTCGGTCGATCCAGTAAAATTAATGAGTGCTCTTATTACTTTAAACAAATTTATTACTTGGGGAAATGTAAAAGACATCTCAAATGATTTCCTCTGCATACATGTCATCATGTTTTTCTCTAGTCATCATGTCATCATGTTTTTCTCTAGTCCAAAGGCTGTGTATGCAATAACTGGTAATGGTGGCACTGTGGCTGACTCCAAACAAACACAATATGATGTTGAGAAGAACTTTTATTCGCAGTCTTTTACATATCGAGGCCTTGTCCGTTCATATTTGAGTCACAAGCTTCATGTGATTGAGTCTAGTTGAACTCGCGAAGGATTCATCTTTATCCACTTGGTTTGTTATGAACACCGGGTTATTGTGCAGCACTGGCCATGGAAAGTCAAATAATACAGTATCCTAAGCAATCCAAGATATATACTTGTTCCAATATAAACCACCTAATCCCTGCCTATCGATTTTTGCCCTCTAGGAATTTTGTCATGCTAGCGATAAAATATTTTAAATTCCTGGAATTTTTGTTCCTTGGTTGACTCATCCATCAGCAGAGACATGAGGTTAGCATAATTCTACAGAGGATAGCTATATAAATGAATAATTGAGGGATCACTATACCTGGCCATGGTGGATAATTTGACTTGTGTAATTCCTACGAGTATCTGAATTACAGATAATGGGTGGGAGCATGCAAAGATGTCTTAGATTACAGGATTTGCTGTAATGCTATGTTTTCTTTTGGAAACAAAACGGCTTCTCATAGTTGCTTCTTTGGTCCCTTGCAATTCATGATCAGTTATCTTCTGGCTTATATTCTACCAAAAATTACTCAAAGTGACATCTCTTGGATCTTCTTTGCCTTAGAAATAGACACATTATCATGTTGAATCAACTTCCAGTTCATGACACCATGGTGATTTTCTTTGAAACTCTGATGTAAGTGATATATGCACTGTTTCAAAAAGCGAACCACCCAGCGTTTGGCGGCGGCCTAGGCAAATATCCTTGGACGCCCGCCTGAACTCGCCTAGGCGGCCGCCCAGGGCTTGCGGCCCAGGAGTGGAAATACGGCTCCTTGAGGGCATTTTTGGGTCATTTTTTTAATACTAAAGGGGCAAGATTGTAGGTTTTAGGTTCATTTGAAACCTAAAACCTATTAGAGGCTATTTTAGAGAGAGAAAAAAAAAAAAAATTCTATTGGGCCACCTAGGTTCTGGGTGCCCCCCTAGGAGTTGGGTGGCCTGGACCCCCCAACTGTTTAAGTGCCGCCTATTGCTTTTTGAAACACTGGATATATGAAATTCTCTTGTTGGTTGAACCAACATGGGCATGGCTCCATGTATGAATTATTTTGAACACAAGCACACAGTTCTATGCATTACCTGTAGTGAACTTAAGCAATTATTGTTTTTGTGTTTCTGTTCTTTGAGCAACTGCAATTAACTGCACTTAATTATGGAAAGCTGTACTCCTTGACTTTCTTTTAAATTGTGTTATAGCATTTTTGTAATTCAACCTTGTGCTGCATGGTGGGTGTTAACTTGAAAACAGAGCACAGACATGTGGGATCAAATAACTTCAATTTGCTCAGCAGCAGAAGTCATACAATATTCACACTGGTATCTGTAACTAAACTCTCAATATATATAGTAACTATGTAGTAATTTCGGGTCTCTGTGTGTGTGTGTGTGTGTATCAAATACATGCGGAATAATTGCTTGACTATGCAAGTATGTGCATGCATCCTACATTTCTATTTCTAGACCGCAACATTATGAAAAAAGTGCTATGTTTTCATCCCTGCCTTCTGGATGTGGAATTTGTCCATCATGGATGGCATCTAAGCCAGTCTATGGACTCCACGTCAATGAGTTGGAGCTTAATGTTACATTTTATGGTTGCGCTTGTACAGACGATTGAGAGTAGCTCATGTGGTGAAAGCAGTGAAGGTGAAGCTGTAAATTTATCACAGCTGGTATGTTTTTTCAGTTCTTGTATAGAATTAGCAATAACGCTTGAGGTGGTCCTATTTCTGTTACTTCTTTAACTATCATCAATGGCTTATATGATTATGCTGTTTACATTTCTTAACGAGTTTATCATTCTTCCTAATGCATTTCCTCATGTACCTTACATATATTTCTTATTTGCTTTTTTATTTACTTATGCCTGCAGAACCTCATCGATCTCGCAGGTTCTGAAAGCTCAAAGGCTGAAACAACTGGAGTGCGGCGGAAAGAGGGAGCTTATATAAATAAAAGTCTGTTGACTCTTGGAACGGTAAGCCCTGCAACTAGTTGCCAACTTAAACTTTTTCCATTTTTCCATTTTTATTCAGATTACCTAATGGCATGATCTCTCCATTTTTGTTTTGGAGGTCAATTGTTTAAATAAATTGATTGTGAACATCTGTTGTAGAATTTATGTCATTTTTATGTTTATCAAATGCATGTCGCAATTTTTTATGTAGTCAAATTTTGCCTTCTGATAATCCATTTTCTCCATATTCAACCCAAAATAATTTTTGTCCCCATTATCAGTTGTAGCAATATTCTTCATGATCATGCTTCATGTGCCACTGACATATGTGTTTTCTTCTTTCTTGTTGTCCACATATAAGGAACTTTAAATGCTTAGTGTCTTCCTTGGCTCCTAGGATTTGTAGGGCTGCACATTACATGTTATAAGGAATCAGGAGATTAGTCAGTGTGGTCCTGATTGAGTTACAAACTCAAATTGACTTCTGAATATAAGAAACTAGATCATTGTCTGCTGCTTTAGAATGGAAAATTTGCAAGTCTTGCTTGTGTTAATACATGACCAATGAGTGCACTCAACTTGAGCGCAACAATTGGAAGTAATGTTGAGAGTACCATTAATCAAATGCAAAGTAGTTTTACGTATGAAGAATAAAGCACAATGGCCATAATAACCGAAGGCTGTGTATTGTTTGCTCCTGCAAGAGCACATTGTACACTTGTTCCTCACCCCAAACATCTAAACTATGGGATCTTTTTCCTCTTAAGTTTGCAATTAATAGTTGATTCACCTTACAATTTCAAAGAAGAAAGGAAAAGAAAAAGATTTGATCCTATTAAAAAACTAGATCTGACCATCTATCATATGAACAGTCTAGAGTCTGTGTTGGGGCCAGCATTCATTTGAAGGATTTCCTGGCCTCCATATCAAACAATGTTTTCAGATTATTCTTATAAATGAGTATAGATGATTTGAAAGTCTTGTGGTTGAACAAACTCCCGTAACATGGTGTTTTGTCTGTGGGACCAAATGTAATTTTTTTTACAACTGGAGCACATAACTCCTATATCCATAGTATAATTAGAATTTAAAACACACGATGAGTGAATTATCTGAGCTACTTGCCATGTACATCACAAGTAATGATATACATCATTTATCGTATCTCGGCATAGTTGAATTATCTGAGCTACTTGTCACGTACCCTGATAGTAATGATGAACATCATTTACCTTATCTAGGCTTAACAGATTTCTTTACCATCTGTAGCCTCCATCAATTGTTGGGGAGTTCCTTTAAATAGCCCCTTAACCATGGGGAAAGCTTCACTTGCTCTCTTACCCTTTGCCCGATAGCTGCTGCCTGGGTCCAAATGTCCCAAGCTGCAACATGACATCAATAGTGGCCTGAATGCTTGGGTCTCCGTCATTGTTGTCAACTCTGTTTACTATAAAATTCTTTTCAACTGGTGCTATGCCATTCATGATCTTGGCAGTACTTACATATTGAGCCTAATATATCTATCTTCTATTTGGCGGTTCTGACTGAAGACCTTTAGTAATATTTGTTGTTTAGTTGGTGATCTTGGCTTTTGGTCTGAATACCCTCTTAGTTTACCTTCTAATTGGTGGTTTTGGCTATCAGTTTCTTCCTTGCACGAGTTTTCATTGGATCAATATTGATTTGAACATTCCATGCAATGAGTTTGTTATTAAAAAAGTTGATTGTGAAGAGATGGGGTGCTCACATCATGATTGACAAGCGGCTGACTCAATTTTCAACTTACCATCATTCCTAATGATTATCTTGGTTTGATTTAGAAGCATCCTAGCTAACAGATCTACATCTCAATGGCCTTGTCTTCTTGATAACTTGAGCCTTCTTGCTTATGCCATGCTATATTTGCTTTAGTTTTGTTCTGAATTACAATGTTGAGTATACTATATTGCTGTCACGTTCTTGTCCTTTGAGCTTTCTTCTCTTTTGCTCTCCTAGTTTTTCTAGGCTTTGTTTCAAACTATTCTTTAATGTTTTATATCATCACCACCATCATCATCATCATCATTATCATCATTATTTTGTTCTTAGTGCACCTGGGTTTGTTAGATTCTAGCTAGCTTTGGGCAAGAGAACCCTGATATCCAGTTTCTTGTAGGTTATTGCCAAATTAACTGATGGAAAAGCAGCACACATACCATATAGAGATTCAAAACTTACCCGGCTCCTTCAGTCTTCTCTAAGTGGTCATGGGCGGGTATCTGTAAGTGTTCTATTTACTGCTTAGAGTGCCCATGTCACCAAATTTATATAATAAGATGTGAGTTTTGACAAACCTAAAAGACTTGAATCGTTACTTATGAAAATGTAGGCAGTTTATAGTACCTGAACTTGGGATAGAACATTGTCGTGAATTCTTTTTGCTCTCTATGTAACAGCTTATTTGCACTGTTACTCCTTCGTCAAGCAATATGGAGGAGACACATAACACATTAAAGTTTGCACACCGTGCAAAATGCATAGAAGTTCAGGCATCACAGAACAAGGTATGTGTCTATAGCTTCCTTCATTCATGGATAGAAGATTTTTGGGCTACACTAACCCTTTTATATGGCAGATTATAGATGAAAAATCTCTTATAAAAAAGTACCAGACTGAGATTCGCAACTTGAAAGAAGAACTAGAACAGCTGAAAAAAGGCATTGTCAATGTGTTCCCATCAAAGGTAGCAGGCCAGGAAGATATTGTTCTACTAAAGCAAAAGGTATGAGAATAACTAACCATTTCTATTGCATTTTTTATGGTTATGAATGTTAGAGCTTTATTTGTCATTTCATTAGAAATTTGGTGCTATGTTGCCAATTATGTGTAGTCGTATTTTCAATTAAGGATGTCAGTGATGTGTGGTCTTTATGCTGCAGTAACATCAATGGGACATGTTCATGTTTAACCTGATTGCTTTTTCTTTATTTTGCCGTAAATCTCCCATTTTCTCACAAGAATTGCCAGCAAATGTTATCAGTTATGGTCTGCTATCCTCTCCCAAATAGTCTATCTGCTGTTCTTGTTGTGTCCTATTTGGTTTTGAATTTTCTTCTTTCCATATCTTGAACTCTCATCATAAATAACACAGCTTTGTTAAAGTTCTATTTTTACTTTATGTTCCTTCCTGTTTCAAGTAAACTATGTCACACATCTATCACCAATACTAACTGTTCTATGCTACATGTATTAAATTGCCTGTTAAGTGCAGCTGTTTATTTTATAATGACCGTTCTCTGTTCCATTCTGATCAGATTTGCACTTGTTTTCTTCTTTGAAAAGCTAGAGGACGGTCAAGTTATGCTGCAATCTAGATTGGAACAAGAAGAAGAAGCTAAAGCAGCATTACTGGGAAGAATTCAGCGGTTGACCAAGCTTATTTTGGTTTCTACAAAAGATACACCACCTTCAAAAGTCCCTCAAAGAGCTGGTCCCCGGAGAGCTCATTCATTTGGAGAAGAAGAGGTTATCTTTTACATTCTTTCTTCGTTTTCTATTTTATTGAAGATTTCAAAATTTTGAGCTCTTAGCTTTTTATGAATAGTTTATTGTCAGCACTTTGTACATATTCTCTTTTAGATATTTTAAGTTTATCCTGTTTATCTTTTTTTCTAATCGTGTTTTGGGCATCTGTTGTAACAATTCCAGCTTGCATACCTTCCTCACAGAAGACGGGACTTTCTTGTGGAGGAGGATAATATTGATCTGTATGCTTCCCCCGAAGGCAATGTTGACAGTTCTGAGGAATTGAGTAAGGAGGACAAAAAGAACAGAAAGCATGGATTGTTGAACTGGTTCAAGCTACGTGTAAGTTTTTTAAGAATCGAAAGTCTTATTGAGGAAATCAATTGTTTGACTACATTTTATGAAACTGTACTGTCATCCATATATGAAGATTGAAACCACTTATGAAGACATTTGTTTTAATCTGCTGAATAAATATGGGTAAATTAAGTTAACATTTTCAAAAGAAAAATAAATATGATTAAATTTTACCAAGCATATAATATCCATGCATTGAACACCATGAGCTCTTTAGATTTCCTTTTCATATATTTGGACAGACGGTTGACTTTTAGCTGCTTCAGTTAAACTTTATGTGTGTTAATAACCTTTGAATTGTCTGGAACTGAATTATTGTAGGTTCTGGTTTCTTGAATAGGTTCATCCTTATTGATGAAGTTCTTTGCACAAAGACAGAGAAACAGGTTTTTTTTTTTTTGGTTTTGGGGGTGGGGTTTAGATTGGATTATCTGGTGCAATCGATGTTCATATTATCTATGAGGTCTTATAGAGCCATTTAATTGCTAAGGATTCTTTTAGGAACTTCTTTAATGAGATGGGAGGGACTAGGGAATATGCATAGACAAAGAATGCACTTGACTGAAAATGCTATCAAGACAGGTGAGTGGCCAAGTGATGGAGCCTGTTCTTTGATAGTAATTTGCTACTTGAGCTCATGTTTGGCTGGCTTGACTTGTTGCTGTTGGTTCAGCATAAGTAAGCATTGATGCTTAGATACCATACATGTCAATTTCGATGCTATTAATAAAGAAAGATGATTTTCAAGAAAGTATGCATTGATGCTTCTGCGAACTGCTCAAACGGGAACATGTCTCTTAAAGAATACAACCCTGGTGAACTGGTACTCTGACATTTTATTTTCTGTTTTGAAACCTTTTTTCACACCTAAATTTTACATACGCATATTTGATCAAACTCTTGAATGTAGGTGCACAGGCATTCTAGTCATTTGTGTTTTAAGGAAACATGTCACTCTATGATTCTAAAACATGGCCAATATGTAACTCCGAGGCCCCATTTGAACAGCAGAACATCAGACAACTCCAATAAGGAAGCTGGTCATTAGGAACAAGTGAAAAACAGTTCTTGTTTTTTCAGAGCTCTGGTTATTTCGCCCAATGTTTTAACTAGAAGTGGGGTCAATAAATTCCATCACCTGTGAATAGTGGAGCAGATCATTTTAGCCACTTGTCCCTTCTTATTGGTATGAAGTAAAAAAGGCCCTGCTAACAAACTTTGGTCCATCCAAAAAAGACCTAAGTTTCGTACTCTTGCTTCTGAAACGTTGGTTTTTGTTGAAATATCCATTGATCTGCTCCTGCAATTGGATATTGTTTCTGGAATGGGGGCATCATTAGCACTAGTAACTCGACTCTAAAATCCTAGACTAAAGAATGGGTTATTCTGTTGAATGAATAATTCTTCTCTAAAAAGAATGAGTAATTTTATTGAATTCTGCGACTTAGGATTTTGAAAATGCTAGAAATTTCTTCTTATGATATTTAACCACTTTACAAATCAGATTAAGAATTACAAATACAGCTTCTTGTTATGTCCACTTGGTAACCTGAAGAGTTGAGTTTTACATGGTAATTTCCACTTTTATATGCATCTCTGTATATTTGAAATTTGATCAGCTTGCTCATGCGTCAGCATGCATGTCATGTGGCTGAAAATGTGCTAGGTGATTTCTTTTTCTTATTCTAATTTTTTTTTTTGGTGCTTACAACTTTTTAACTTCATCTCTACTCTCCAGAAACGAGATAGTAGCTTGTCTGCTATGACAAGCTCCGATGGCGATAAATCAAGTGCAACAAGATCAAGTATAATTGCCTCACCTCAGGCAGATAATGGGAGCAGTCATTTGGAGAACAGAGCATATGACAGTTTAATAGCTGAGAAAAATACCCCTTCCAGGAATCTTCTGCTGGAATTTGAGCATAATAGAGACTCTCCTCATGACAATGCTTCATCACATCAGCCACCATTGGTATGTCATGTCTTCCGTGCTCTCTGTGGCAATAATCCTGTCCTGCATGTATCATTTGAATAATTTAACATTGTCGATATTCAGTTGATATGGGTAAATAATTTCTAATGATGGTGTCATTTAGTAAGGGTCTGGCATGAAAATCATTTGTTCATGGAAAGAAAAGTTTAAATTTCATTTTCAATTTAAAGGGCCAAAGGTATAAGGAATTATTAACCCATTATCATTCTTAATAATGAACAAAGTTATTATAATCACGGAAAAAATGAGTATCTCTATTAGGTGCTGTGGCACGTTTTTGTGCATGCTCAATATTTAAGTCCCATTTTCTGGACACTAATCTTTCACTGTATGACCAGATCTTCTTTTTTTTAATTCGATCTAATTTTATCCCTTTTTTACGAGATTTTCAAATCCATCATTCATGAAGGTCTGAAATGTCTCAAATCATCATCATCATCATTTGAGACATTTCAGACCTTCATGAATGATGGATTTGGAAATCTGGTGAAGTTGGGATAAAATTAGATCCAAAATCATGTCAAATTTCATTTTTTTCACTTCCTTCTCTTGTTAAGTTATAGGGCCGCTGTCAGTTTCCTCACTTTCTCATTTACAGTTATCAAACAGAGGGTCTCAGTTTGTCAATGTATTGATTTGGAAGACAAAATGGAATGGGGAGAAGTGAGTCTTACTAAGCAAACATAGACAGGAGTCTCCCACCTCTTCTGAAAGGATTAAGGTGCTGCCTTGGATGTGATGGACTTCATGTATCAGTCTGCGCTTAATCCACATCAAGCCACTTATCAGAAATAGAAATCCATATCACATATGGTGGGGATTGCACAAGAAAGGCAACAGAGCCTTGGTGTATTTTTGTTAAAAAAGTGGATGAGGATAAAAGATATGATTGCTGGTCATGTTACAGGTCTTCTTGCAAAAGAACATATATGAAAAGAGAAACATAAATATAGAAATAGAAAAATGTTAGATAAGGTAAATAAGAGAATATTTCGGTTCCCTTCCTATCCACCTATGCATAAACCCCTTTTTGGAGTTCATTAATTTGAGGGGTTGGGACAAAATTTTCATTATACATAAAGGGTGCTGAACTAGGGTTTCTTCCTTTTTGGGTTTTAAAGCATATGGGAAAGTAAAGAAAGTACTAAAAGCAATGGAAGACTCTTCTGGTCTTTGATAATCGCAAATCCATGAGGGACTATGGAATCATGGGAATTTGTTTCAAACACTCAATCCTTTCTTTAGTGGAGGATCATTCTATAGACACCTTTAGACATGTATCGGAGTGTTACCGCTGGATTTGTTTTTAAATTAATGTTCACTTACAAAGCTGTTCAATAGAAAGGTATATAATGATTTTCCCAATATCTAAAATCCTAGATAGACCATATTTGTTTGGCCTACCTACACTGTCAAGTCCTACAGTAAGTATGTTATTCTTGTATCATAACTTGCATACCTCTGGGCAGGATGGATATGATGTGCACAAAATAAACGGCTCTTGTTTTTATGCTTGAATGCAAGCTATTTCACTTTTTCCTGTTCGTCATATTTTTTTTTTGCAACTTTGCATGCAAGACACGGGCAAAATGACTCATTTGATCATGGTTTCCTCTTACTCAGTGATGACCTTTCCAAGTGCATCACCTGGCTAACATTGCAATTTCCTTTTTTGTTTCTAATGTGTGTTACTCTTGACTGGTTTTAGAGGAGTGGCAAGTTTTTGGACCAAATTGATTTATTAAGGGAGCAACTCAAGATTTTGTCTGGAGAAGTTGCTCTTCGCTCAAGTGCTTTGAGGCGTCTTACAGAAGAGGCTACGGATAACCCAAAAAAGGAACAACTTCAGGTGACATTCCTTATCTCACTTAAAGCCTGAATCATGTATTCTTTAAGATGTTATGTTTCAGCATCCAATCCTGTTTTATTTCTTGTTTTTTGAAGATTGAGATTAAAAAAGTGAATGATGAAATCAGAGATAAGAAACAACAGATGGAAGCTCTAGAAAGGCAGATGGTCACATCCATACAGGCCACTCAAAGTAAGGTGGACACATCAGAACTGTCACAAGTAAGAAAATGAGCTCTTGGAGGAATATGCAATACATGTAAAATGATCTTTTTTTCCCTTACTACATGTATCTGATGGCTTTACTTTTCTGTTCTTGCAGTCCTTTGCAGAACTGGCTGTGCAATTCAACGAGAAAGCCTTTGAACTTGAGGTGATGCAAACTTCTCTCAAGGGGCTGAACTCTGTGTTGTCTAACTAGTGGCACATGCATTTTATAAAAGTGCAGAGTGACAATAAATTGGCGAAATCTTAAAAAGCAAGTTGAAAAGTAAAGTGAATGGCATAGGAACATGAATTCCTAGAGGAATGTCATCGTAGATTTCAGGGTGAAAAAATTAGCAGTAGATTAGACAGCTTAAATATGGGGATCAACCTGAATTCCTTCGCTAGATATGGTATTTTGATGATAGTTTTTTTTCCTTTTTTTTTAATGATAGTTAATTTTGAATTGGCTTGTACTTTGTTATATGTTCATAAATGACTGGAATGCCATCATCATCTTACGGTGCCAGTTAAATATGATTCTTTTTGAAGTGATAATGTACCAGTTATGCCCTTAGAAGAACTACATTTAATGTCCCTAAGCATTCCCTAGATTTTACCAGATGTGACCAAGGTACGACAAAATTTCCTGTACTTTGGCCCAAAGTTTATATTCTTTCTACCCTTTGGTTTTCAAAGATTATAAAACTAAATTGTTGGCTCTTTGGATTGAACCTTTCACCTTAGTGATTTGTTGCAAAGGACCTCCTCACTAATATTTTGGGTGCTAGTTCGAGCTTACCATTCAAAAGATACAATAAATTATTAACCCAACCACCCCAATAAAAGTTTTAAGTCACAAAATCTAATTCTTGTGGATATTGTCTGTGCTGATGATTGTTGGGTGTTTTTCTTCAGGTAAAAACTGCTGATAACAGAGTCATGCAGGAGCAACTGCAACAGAAGGTCAGTGTAACTCTGCAGAAGTCATCATTGTTATTAGGACTATGTGTAGGTGTAAAATTCATGTAAAAAGGTGGTGAAAGAATGTATTGATGATGACCATCTTGTTCAGATACGCGAATGTGAAGAATTGCAAGAAAGAGTTGCTGCTCTTAAAGAACAGCTCTCTCAAACATCGGAGGCCAACAAAACCATGAGGGAAGCCATGACAGCAAATCATGAACTCAATTTAACCTCCAAGCCAGATTTCATCCCTCAAGCGGACATATCAAATGGATCACTCCTTCAAGAACAAGTTATTAGTCAGGTTTGTCTGCTACCTCTCTGATTTCTGCTGCTACTAATGATATGACAGGCAAACACATGGTGTTTCTGTTTTTGCTCTGATTTCCATCTAGCTCTCCACTTCTTTTTCCTTCAAAATACTGAGTACTATATGTGATACATCCCACTTGGTTGTTCCGGAATATATTCTTTCTATATCCATTTCCTCTATTTCCAAAAGCTGCAATTTTAAATCAACCGAAATTCTGTTAGTGTCGTGCTAACCTAATTTTCATGGTGTTTTATCATCCAATCTCTGATTCATTTAAATTTGTTCCAGGTCTCTCAGATTGAGGAATTGAAGCTCAAGTTGTCTAAAATGTCTGAGGAAAAGGCCCAGCTCGAAGCTCGAAACCAAAAGCTAGCAGAGGATGGTTCATATGCTAAAGGACTTGCCTCTGCTGCTGCAGTGGAGCTCAAAGCACTCTCTGAAGAAGTCACCAAGCTTCTTCGCCAGAATGAAAAACTTACAGCTGAAATTACAGCATTACAAAACTCGCCAAACCGAAGGCTAAATTCTAGTATGAGAAACTCCAAGAGAGATTCTCATACCAAAAGGCAAGATCTAGGGGGTTCGCTTGCTGAAATAAAGAGAGAATTGGCCGTGAGTCATGAGAAAGAATTGTCGTATGAAGCTGCATTGGCAGAGAGAGAACAGAGGGAGGCAGAGCTTCAGAAGAGAGTTGAGGAATCAAAGCAGAGAGAGGCACATCTCGAGAATGAGCTCGCGAACATGTGGGTTCTTGTGGCAAAGCTTAAGAAGACGCAAGATACAGATGACCTGCTGGAGCTGGGACGAGAGAGTTTTGATGCTGGTAAATATGAACCTTTGGGACATTCAAGGAGGAGCAGAGGGTAGGCCTCTGTGTGTGTGCACGTGCGCGTGCCTGTGTGTGTGTGCTTTGTTTGGGTTATAGTCAAAATGTGTATTGTCTTACTGCTTGGTGTTAACAGGTCCTCCTAATACTCTCTCTCTCTCTCTCTCTCTGCGATGGGGAGGGCAAATTTTTCTCTGATGAATGTGTATTCTCAATCCCTCTTTCTGTAAACAAAACCTTGAAGGGTCTTTTTTTCTTTTTTTGGGTGAATCAGTGGGGAGAGGACCCCTACCCTACCCTTGGTAGGAATTGAGCAGAAGCATTGCAAATCGTCAAGCGCTACCAATTAAGCCTGAGCTCTTTTCCTGAGTTCAGCATGAATGGATTTACTAATGGGTAAATGTAATATTGTCCAAGAATGAATCATTGACTTTTCATGAACTGTTATAAAGGGTAAATTGAACTGTTGCATGAATATCGGTAACTTGGCCAAGTTAGGGTACTGTTATTGCCAAGGTTGAGGTGTGAAACTGCACTATTTGATCATTTATAATTAGGAAAAATTTACACAAGGTATCAACTTTATACCGTAGAAGTACGGTGCACCTAAAAAATTCGACCTTTAAAGGTTGTTTCGATGTTAGAACGCTATAAATGATCACCTCGGGATATATGGATTATGGGACAATGAAAAAGATTTTCAAGTCTTGAAGATAATGCATATTCTAACAAATTATCCTTTGTCCATTTTCAATTTTTTAAAGTGTTTATATGTGTTTGATTTGCAATATTTTTAAAGTTTTAAATTTCATAATTAGGAGAAAAAATCGATATCTAGGTCATTGTAATTTTAGTGCCGAAACTACATTTTTCAGCCAGATTTAGAGGTGTGCTTTACCTTGATTGTTTGAGGTTAACAAATCACACCTTTTATATTATTAGATGAAGAAGTTCAAAATATTTTTTTTTGGACTTTGAGCTTTGCCATTTTTCATACCTCCAGCCATCTAATTTCTCATTTAATGGCTAAGGGTAATAGTGACCTTATACCACATATAAATGGTGTTATTGTATGCTTCTTTCTGATATTCTTTCTTTAACAATGTTCAATATATTTGTGGAGAAGTAGCGTTCCCAACTCAAAACGTCTGCGTGCCATTAAAAACCAGGAAGATAAATGACACACTAAGTACTTTTCATAACAAGATTTCAAGAAAGAAGTACTAAAGAACATGGGTGCAGTAACATGGGTGCAGTTTGTATAGAGCCTAGGCTCTAAACAATCAAATTAGAGGCTACCTTCAAATAGTGTTGAGAAATGTGGTTTCACTACTGATAATCATTGTGATAGCTTTAAAATTGATTTTCATTTTCATTTATAAAGTTTAAAGCTTTAAAAATAGTGTAGATCTGTAGATATATGAAAATTTGAATATAGTGAAAATTGACGGTCCAAAAATGTGTTACAAAATATACTATTTCCAAAACTTGAAATCCATTTTTTTTTCATGTCCATGCATCTTGATGTCGAGATGATATTTGAGGATATTTGGGCATCAAAACAACCTTTGCTAATGAAATTTTTGAGGTAGGGTCTAATTGATTGTTTAGAGCCTTGGCTCTATAAAAACTTTTCGAAAATAATATTTAGGCTTCTAAAGTATTGATATGTCGACATTTGCAAAATACTACCCATGTCTCCATGCTACATGTGTTTTGAGAGATTGCCACTTGGAAGAATAAACAGAAAAAATGCGCAAGCATAGTGAAGTTGAGTTATAATGGCCAAAAGTAGGGCTTCTGAATAAACTCTATGAAATGTTCACCTGTATTTCTTTTTGCCTACTATCTATAAATTCAACAAAGTATTATAGAGAAATTCGTTAAGAGGGTGGCATGTTATATGCATGTGTCTGCACGTTGGAGTGAACACCCATCCCAGAATTCCATGTAATTTTTTTTCCGTTTTTTGGGTGGAGGGTCAGTCGGAGCGGGCCTTACCCTTGGTAGAAATTAAGCCTAGAATGTAGTCTTGTCACTCATCAAGCGCTAACCAATTAAGCCCAATTAAACCCGGGCTCTTTTCCTAACATGTAAATTTGATTGAGAGAAATCAATAAAGAAAAAAGAAAAAAAATGGGTCTTCATTTGTACTAATATACTGTAGACGTGGCTCTCGATCCTAGAGGGATTTTCAAGGTCTTTAGTTAAAGAACTTAGGACCTTCACAGACCCTTGTGTGTCCTATTACGTAGAATATACTCTCTAAATTTCATCTCGATCAGATTTGCAGAAAAATATTAAATTTAAATAGCAAAATGCCTTTTCAATCATCTGGTCAAGGTTTGACGATAGATAATATAACCTAAACTAATATTCATGTTAGGTAACTAACCTATTGTTATATATATACACACACACAGATTCAAATCACTTGAAATTTTAGGCGTGTTCTTCTCATCAAGGCACAACTAATAAAAATATAAAAAATAATAATTCATAAAACAAATTGATGAAAATACTCCCAAAACAATTCGGAGGTATTTTGTTCAGTTTATTTCATGTAAAATTTATTTTTGATATTTTTTAGTAGATTCGCCTATTTTTGAAGAACACACACATGAACTTTTGATATGGATTTATATAAAAAAAATTAAAATTCAAACACTAGCAGACATCTGTGATCATCAGATCGGCCAAGATTCATTCTGAGCCGTGAGTATTTACTGTACCAATACACACCTAAGCGCGCACATGATCTTTTACCTATATATATATATATATATATATATATAGAGAGAGAGAGAGAGAGAGAAACATATGTTATATATTTTATCCTTACAAAATGTATGTGATATCACGAGAAATGAACATGCATATCCCTATTCATTCCCGTTATTAGAAAATTGCCCCCAAATTGTTGTTATTATGTTTATACTCATTTTTATTTTAAAAAAGTTGCACTTAACTTAGGACCATCAAGGTCCTAAGTTCTTTTTTAACCCTAGGAGAACAACTGCAGACCTTGAGGGTCTAAGTTCTTTAAGTTAACATTCAAAATCTGAAGTTCTTCGTGGACCCTAGACCCACCTCGACTTTCAAAGGGTAGTTATTGACGTCTAGGAGGAATCTAGGATCTTGAATGTCCAAAGTTCTTTAACTTAAGGCCCTTTAAGGTTCGAAGTTACCCCTCGATCCCCACCAACCAGGCAACCACCCTTTGCCTAGGACACCCCTAGATAGCATTCAAGAGGAATTTTGGAACTTGAAGGCAAGTTAAACAATTTAGGAGCTCATTTTTCACTACGTTTATTGAAGACCCAATTTTACCTGCTAAGTGAAATGCAGGTGCTCATTTTTCATTAAGTTTATTGAAGGCCCAATTTTGGCGGTTATAAGTCGACTTTGTTTTCTTGGCGAAGTTATTTTTGGGATTGTATGCTATGAGACCATTTATTTTTGGTTCAAGGAGATCATAATCATATTTAGAGATTGATTGTGAAATTCATTATATTTAAGTGTGTCACAACATTTTAGATTTATTTTGGACTTTGTGCCCAATCAACGACACAACTTCAACCACCTAATTTCACATCTAACAGTTTATAATTATTATGACCTATGCATTTTTTTATTTTTTATTGTATATTAACTGAGTAATAATCTTTTCAAACCTACGTAATTTGGAGATATGGGTAGTGTTATGTAAATATTAACATGTCAAGGATACAACATTCATGTCTAATATTTTAGAAACCTAAATACTCTTTTGTATTTTTTTTCTTTGAAATCTTGTTATAAAAGTACTTAAAAATCCAAAAGTCATTGGGGATACTTCGTCATGATATTTTGTAACTTTGTATAGTGTCTTTCCCTTTTTGCTAGTAAAATTCCAAACTCAATTACTGAATAAAATGATTGTTCTGTGTCTTATTCCGAATCGACACACAAAAAGGAGTAGGGTTCAGAGCCTGAGTATGATCTATTTTTGTAAGTTTGCTCTTCCAAAATTGATGTAAGAGGAGTGGACGATCAAAATTTGGTGTCTACATAATTTGTCAAGAAAATTAAAAATAAATTAGTGTAGAGACGTGACATTGTGATTGGGACCATCTCAACCGTCCATTTAGAGTAAACGGTTCGATAAAAGAAGTATGTAATTTTTATGGAGTAGGAAAAATACAGAAAGCTTGCGCCCATGTTAAAAAAAAGTATTATGAGCAATCTCTTGTAGCCATCACATATAATGAAGGAATTGGAATGATTGGTCAAAAATATTTATTCTTCCTTCATCCATTAAAAAAAAAAACTTTATGCAATAGAAATAATTTTTGATCTTTGAATCTTTGTGGACCCTAACATGCTCATGCACTCAGTGCGTGGTCTTCTTTTTTGATGGAAACGTACGACAGTTATCATGGTGCATAATAAGCATATATTTACCAAGCCACTCCTTTCTGTATCCTATGTTCTTATCTTTACTAAAACCATGGAGGCCCTAACTTTCCTTTTCCCCTAATTTTAAAAAAAACCTCTTTCTCTCTCTATCTCTCTCTCTCTTAAATCTTCAATATACTCTCCCCGTAAATCTTGTATCTACTCTCTCTCCTAATCTTAAATATACTCTCTCATTTCCCTTCCTCACATAAAATAAAATAAAAAATAAAAATAAAAAATCAATTTACTCTCTTCCTTACTCAAAGTTCTTGGTCGGGTTCAAGATGTGGACCTTCCTTATTCAAGGTTCTTGGTCGGGTTCAAGATGTGGGCCTTGCCTAAGTGGAGTAACTCACGAGTCAGAGTGGACTTGCCCAAGTTGTGTACGGGGCAAAAAATAAATAAATAAATAAAAATAATAGACAAAAAATGCTAAAAATAAAATAAAATATTAAAAATAAAATTCATTAAAAATCCAAATAAGATGGAAAAGTATAAAAAACATCTATTTAGGTAAATTGTTTTTATAGCGGAAGACATTTCAGAAAATCTATAAAAAGAAAAATGTAAAATAAGGTATATGACAATAAACACTTACAAATCACTTTGAAAAAACTCAAAAATCATATACAAAATATTTATGTATTGATTTTATAAATTAAAATATTTTTTGTGATTGTTTTCTAAATTTTTTAATGTCATGAAATTCTACCAGAGTACTCAGCTAGGCAAGGGACAGAGTCTAAGTAACTTATATGTGAGTTTTCAGTCATTGCTGACGCAACGGGTCGGGTCCGGACCAATCGAACCTGGACCCAAAAATATAATGGGGACCAGACCCAAACTTGAACCTAAATATGACTTAATCCAATTGGATCCGACTCAAAAATAGAAATATCTATATCTTTATATAATTTAAATATATTTCATAAATTGAAACCCAAAAGTATGATGTGGGAATCGAATTCAGACCCAGACCCAAATAGTGTTCAGGTCTAGAATTTGGACCCAGACCCAATGTACTAGGTCTAATATTTG